TTTTTTATTTTTATTTTCCCCATTTTCATGTTTCTCCATCAATGCATTTCCTAAATCAAAGATTAATTTCAAAAAACTCATGATGGTCAACAACAATCAATGGTTGGATTGTTTCTGCCTCCAAGTTTCTGTCAATTTTTTTTTTTAATTATAGATTTATCATCTGAGATTTTTCGTTGTCCATCCTGACCAGTGATTACTTTTATCAATTTTGTGGGTTTTAGTAAATATGTTCGATTATTCATGTGGTTTTTTATTTTACCGATAAATCGATTAACATTTCATGTTTAATTCAAGATCTTCTATTTGACAAATTTTCGTTTCCTCATCAAGTTTCTTGCCTTGGATGATCGGAAATTGATATCGTAATGTGTGTTTTTTTTTTTTGTCAATCTTGAATGTTGAATGGACCATGCTACACAAACATTTGGGGCTATAACGGGGACTACATAATGGACATGCGGCACCTCGGCATACCTCAGGCCCATGGCGAGGCACCGCCTGTCCATTATGTAGCCCCCAATGTTCATGTAGCATGGTCCTTGTTCCACAATTCGACGTGTGATTTGTTGATAATATTATCACCAGTTACACATTTCTTATATAACTAGCTTTTCATCCGTGCAATGCACGGGCCGGGTTCTTTCGAAGGTAATGTTAGCATCTTCACTGTTAAGGATTGACGGGAAAGTGTTACAAAATTTCTCCACACCTGTATAAAAGAAATAATATTTCAATAATTCATAACGGCTAATCAAAAATTGAAACAAAGGAGGAGAAGTAAAACATTGTATGGAAAAGGCATCAAGCAAAAGTTCAAATTTACACGAGGAAGACAATCTGTATTATAACTTCAAAATATAATTTTCTCAGGTTTCTTTTTTATTGAACTCACATAGAAATGAAGCAAAAGCTCCTTGCAATCGAAATAAATACATAAACCTTAACTGTGCCATTACCCACTTACTTTTTCATAATTGGGGGTGCATCATCAAAATGTTTTTAAACTTCATATATTGAAGCTTCAATGCTAAGTTCCGTGTTCTTACCTTTTGATACCATTGCATCTTTAAACATTATTTTCTAGACTACCAAGTCCCTTCGAGTTTATTTCTAAAAATTTCTCTTCCATTATAATGAAGACATCATGTCCCAAAATAATAATAATGATGATGATGATGATGATGATGATGATAATGATGATAATAATATAATCAGTAGTTTAAAAGAAAGGAGTTTGGTAAAATCTGCCTAAATACCTAGAATACAGATTTGAAGTTTAATGCCTTTGTTTCCAATATATCCCAAATGTGTTTTCTGCAAAACTTCCAACATCGCAGAGTGCCTTGAACTTCTTAGCAGAAAAACTCGCTTATTATTTAGGACAATAATGCCCTTTTCCTGAAGTATAAATATAAAGTTCGTAGAGAAATGCCCATGATACATGCCTCAAAAACAAAGCCATGAAAACTTGCTCAGAAGCATCAAGAGAATGTAGATAATGCTTTCTTAAGACTGTCACATAAATAGGATAGTATAGATAGTTTTGATCGTTTGATTAAAAATTAAAAGATCAACATGCATAAGCTTCTTTAAAATTCACAACATCAACGAACTAAGCTTACTTTTAGAATGAAAAGAAACAATATGCAGGTGTTAAATATATCTAAGCTTCAAGACGTTCTGTACATTCAGGAACAAGAGATTTCCAATCAGAAATATCACAAGTTCATATTCATACAAGTGAATGTAATAAATATAGAGAAACATATAGCAAATCAAACAATAAGTGTGATAAGCCAACAAGACTAACATGTAGATGAATATTCTTTGCAATAGGAAAAATGTAAAATATTCAGCTTTCTTTCCACCATACATATTATCTAATTAGAAAAATGCTCATTTTGTTAAAGGTTTAAGGTATGCGTAAACTTCTTCCAATTATAAAGATAAAAAAAATATTACATCAGGAAATTGTTACATAATTAAGAATATCATAATAAACTTTTGAATTATCGTCAATGGGATTTTAGTGGGTTCAAGTATGAATAGGAATTAAGAATTTAAAAAAAAAACGTGAAAACTGAAGAAACTCATGTATAAATTTACTATGCAACAGTTAGTAGAAAGTCTACAAATAATATTGGTATAGCAAAAAAAATGACATTCATAGAACCTATTAAGTGAAGATCCCAACCTTCCAACTGCAATTCGTTTGTAAAAATAAAAAATAACTCCAACAGTAACCTCCTAATGGAGGAATGGTTACTGAATCTTTAATTTAAGTATAATCAATCATTAAAGGCAAGAATAAAAATGTACAGCTAAAATCAAATAAATGAATTCCACAATTCTAAATCATATTATCTTATCTTTGAAGCAAAAGCAGTAAATGATTTTCCATTGTTTCACTCTCCAACTAATTAGTAATTACTGGTTCATTGAAAAGTTTTCAGAAAATGGTAAAAGAAATTTTCAATTACAGCTAAACAAGTCAGGACTTTGCACCATATTAGGAATCAGAAGATGAAAAGATGGAAATTCCACTGCACCAGAGCATCAACCATAATTAGTATGTGAAGAAAAACTTCAAAGAATGAAAGTAACTAAATCTTAAAGTCTGTGTATTGAAAAACTGGCCAAGAGAACTGATAGGGAGACAAAGGTGAGTACAGTTTCACTGATGTAAGCTCTATCTTGCCGAAGTTACTGAAATATTTCTA